TATCATCATCCATACCAAAGGTGACATCATGCTTCTTGATCCCAATTTTCAGTGTTTGCACATCATCTTTTACATCATATAATGACAGTGATTCTAAGGCCACCCCTGAGTATGACAAACCAGATCTTCACATCTGATGAAAGTTCTACTTTGTCTTCAGATCTAATGAAGATAGAACCAGATCTTCATGTCTCATGGGAGTCAAGTCAGGTCTTCTACCTGATGAAGGCTAAGACAATTTTTCATATATAATGTAGCTCAAAATGAAGGTCAAACCATGTCTTCAGATTTGAGAAAGTTGAACCAAGTCTTTAAATGTAGTGAAGATGGAACAAACCTTCATATCTGATGGAAAGCAAACTAGGTCCTCATATCTTACGAAGGTCAAGCCAAATCTTCATATCTGATAAGAGCTAAACCAAGTATTCATATATAAGGAAGTTCAGCATGAAGGGCAAACCGGTCTACATATCTGACAAAGGTCAAACCAGGTCTTTGTATCTGATGACCATGCTGGGCATTATTAAATCACCATCCTGGATTTTTGACTATCGCTCTTTCAGCTTCCAGTCCTCTTGCTTCTACCCAACAAGGGTACTTTGTATCCACACAGATAAACCATGGTAATTGCCTCATCTTCAAACCCATGATGCCGTACCATGTACAGTCTCTTTTACCATGTAAATAATCATGTGAATATGTACTCGAGTCAGAATGTGACTTCAAGAGAAAATGGAATTCTTCTGAATACCAGGGACTTTTAGACTCATTCTGATTCTCTTCTAATAAACTATCCTTTGGGATTTAACATTGATTTAATGTGGAAGAAAATGTTGACAATGATAATATATCAAAAGAGTAGCCTATTCCTCACTTATTCCATTGATGACAGACAGTGCAACTCATGTGGACCAAAACTATCCCAGTCAAAGAAAGTATGTATGGGACTGTAAGTATCACAGAAAAAAAATGATGCACCCTGGAGCTCAAATTTATATCTTAAAATCATTCCTCTGGTTCCTAATGCCATCCTACTCTGAAGATTTTACACAGAAGGAGACTATTCCTGTCTGGAAGAAAAGTTTTTACTTCAGCTACAGTGTACACTACACATTGGGAAGATATTCACTTGAAATTATTGACTAGAAGTCATGTCTGATGACTGGAACTTCATCCTTATATAGAGAAAACTATAAAAGTAGCAATATACTTTGGTTTAGTCAATATAAACTTCCAGTATATATATTTTTTCAAGGGAAGAAGCTGTAATAAAAAGCCATAAAAATATTCCAAAAAAATACTCAAAATAGCCCAGGAGAACTCCAGGCTCTATTTAAAGGATTTGCAACTGTAGTTACTGTATAATAGCCATTATTTTTGATATATGGCTTGCCCTTAATGATGGATGTTGGGAATTCATGGAGGATATTTGCTGTTGCTATCTCTGTAGCATGGTACTGCTTTGGGAGAACAGAACGGAGTGAAGGTTCAGGATTCTTTGGGCACTGAGAGATGCTACTGGAACGTTTGGCTCCATTTATCTCACACGATGACTCTGCAGCCACCGCACACCTCAAAACCCTATTATCTAGGCCTTCTTCATCTCAATGTCAATCAGACCTTAGAAAATACGTGGCATATATATGGACACTGCGCTGCTCAGTGCACTTGATAACCATCCGCTGACTTCTAAGAGCTCATCTAAGGACTACAGAGCTAGACCGGTGCTACTGTGTAAAGGGTTCCTGACAGTTGCTAAAACCTCAAAAGGCATCTGGATTAGTGTGGTATCACCATTGTTAATGAGCGGTAGCTGTGTCTCAAAGGAGACTGGTATTAATGGAACCACTAGCAATGCTCTTTCGGGAGTTAAGTGGCATTGAGCTTTTGCTCTTCCATATGCAGATTAATTCTAGACAGAAATAAAAGAAGGTAAAAATCGAAACAAAGGTATAGCCATGTAGACTTTCCTAGCTCAATAGCACTAGACAGAGTAACCAATCAAAGAGACTCACACCATCTTTCCTCCTTTTGGATTATGTTATGAAGGGACAACATACTGTCCTAAAGAAACAGATTTTGCCTCTTTTGCTATTAGTCTCTTTAAGTTCTTAAAATTGATCCTCAAGTAATACAGCATGATTATTTGTTTATAATATCATTAGCTTATAAAGAATTAGAGCAGCCCAGAAAAAAAAAAGACATTTGAAACAGAATGATAATGTCTATTAATTGGAGTAGAGAATTAGTAGGCGAAGTTGGTTAAGAAAAACATAAACCTGGAAGATATTTGTCCAGACAAGGATATATAACTGTGTTTCTGACTGGAAAGCTTATGATTTTGGCCTTAACCTTCCAAAAAATGAAAACAAACTTGTTAACAGGATCACTTACATGACTCCTGGTATTTATGAAAGAAAAAAAAAAGAGGCACTTATTCAGAAAAAGAATAGTTTCTCCCAGTGCTGATAACCAAGCAACTGATATGCTAGAGTTAGCAAGATGGCAAATCTCCTTATCTTTCCTATCTTGTTGGCTACAGCCAGTACATGGCCTCATGTAAGCATTAGGCCTTACCATCCAGTCATGTGTCCATTGGGCCAGAATTGTAGCTAACAGAATTAATGGCTCCTAAACTAGGGATCTCATCATCCCTCAACTCCATCTTGTGCCCTGTGCAGCTGAGGCTGGATTTGGCCTTGCAAACTTATTGTCTGAGCCTCCACAGTTCTGAGATTTCAGTCTTGTACATCCATACCGCACTGAGTTTTTATTTCTCTTTATGCCAATGATATGACATCACAACTTACTTGATAGCAATTATGCTGGGGAATTAGTATTATTAGAGGATCATATTAGCGTAGGCAATTAAGGAGAATGTAGAGTGTAAGTGAAGATGACATCATTGATCCCGTATTCGTCATATAGCACTGTTGGGGGTGTGATGACTTATACAGAAGCAGAACTTGTACTTAGCAGTGGGAACTTGGTGAAGCACGCACACCGGTTTAAGTTCACACAGCAGTGGCAGCTTAGAAAACTGAGTACCACTCATCCACTCAGCAGATAAACATGGCCTAAGAATGCAGAGAAGGCGGTCATAGAAAAAAAAAAAAGGTTTCTTCTGCAAAAGTCTATTAGAAAACTCTCCATGTCGTGATTATACATTTTTGTTTTTAAAACTGACATTTATCCTGATGTGACATTTTTCTTAATCCCTTCCTGATTTTAGTTGAAATACCACTATCTAAAGACAAAGTCATAAGGTGAAGCTTACAAAGTTCTCAGAGAACAGAGCTTTGAGTGACATCATGTCTATAGGCCTATGAAGGACAACTCTTAACACACAACTTTCTTGGAGCTTTCTCATTTTTTTAATCTTGAAGGTTTTTCTTTCTTCTGGTTCTGGAATGTCCACAAAGCTGATAGGGTTATGATCTATACTCTGCACATGTTTCATAATTTCTAGGAAGATCAGAACAAAGTCAGAGAGATTCTGATCTAAACTCTTAGCTGGGAAAGAGCAGAGACATCCGTGAGACGGCACATGCAAAAAAGAGCTGGAGGGTCCAAGGCTTCCTTCTGCAATAAAAGCAGGCCCGCCAGCTGCTGCTCGCTCTGTTGCCATATCCCATTTCTAATACTGAATAACACATAGGAAGTGAATACTTGCCTCGAGAAATTAGAAAAACAATAATAAAAATGATGATTTAAATGATTTTTCTTCTTAAAAGGTGTTCAAGTTAACAACAGGGGATCAAAACCTTCTACAAGGTTCAGAAGGAAAATTTTATCAAAATGAAAGCTGTAAACTCAGATGGATTTGTATTTCAGTTTCAATTCCAGAAATGATAATTTAAACTCCATGTCCAGATTCACAGCTTAACATAAAATTTACACAGTTCCCTTTGCACGATCTAATAATCAAAATGAAGAACTGGACTCCTGCCGGACACTGGCAGGCCAGCTCTTTATGCTCGAATGGTTGAAGAAACCAGATAACAAGACCTCACCGTGAATGGTTTTAAATGTCATTGATGGCCCTAAAGCAAACCCCACCTCTAGAATCCCGACTGCATGCCTGATGCTGTGAGCACCATAAGAGCAGCTCAGATGCCGCTCGTGAGTCACAGCAAGTGTTTTCCCATCACTCGTCAGTTTCAGACTTTCCAGTTTGGCTAAATAGCCTCTGCTTCCCATGTTAGCAGAGGTGAGTGTCTCCTGAGAGTTGATGCTTTGTTACTGCTGTCTTCAAATACACTGTTCCTTCTTTATCCCCCTTCATGCCAGTTTGCGTGTTAGGCAGACCCTTTGGCAACTTTACAGAATCTTTACCCATGCTTTTTGAAGCCATCTCTCTAGTCTACGTTCTAAGGGTGTTCGACCTTCACTGCTAAGGTCCATGCTTCCCGCAAATCAGTGGCGCGCCACCACTCAGATACCCTGATCCGGAATGTGTAGTTGTATCAAAGAGTTCCACAACAGCCCGGAATGCAGTATAACACAGGTTTATTTATTTGGGGATAAACTCACAGTAAGGGTAGCAATCCGCACTCCTCTGTGTGCACTGGGAACTGGAACCGAATCCAGTAGAAAAGGGGGAGGGGGGCGACTGCACACACCTTTTGTCTGCACGTATGGTACATGAGACCACGCCCATAGTGGGCTGGTATCTTAAAGGCTATTGGCTGAAGGAGTTCCCACGACAGGAAGGGCTCAATGATAGGCCTCAAGAAACCCTGACTTAAAAACTTTGAGAGAGCCAGACATGTCAGGAAAAAATGCTTCAGAAATGCAACTTGTAGTTCACCTGCTCTTTACTTCATTAAGGGAACTGGACCTCAGTGGCCTTCTCACCAGCCACTAATTGAACTCAGGACGCTGGTCTACTGGGTCTGCAGATTTCTAAATTCTGTGTTTCCAAGTTTTTGCAGACATGTTACTGATGGTCTTTTCTTACCATCCTCCATCTGACTCTTCCCCTCGTGTCTCCGCTGCAGATTTTGTTCATGGGTATGATGACGGAATACTACCACTACTTCTTCACGACCCTGGTGAGTGCTCCTGGTAAGAACGCGGTCTGCAAACACGGTCCACACACTGCTTCAAAGCAGCCTCTCCAGAGCCAAAGCGCTGCTATTGTCCCAGAGAGTCTCTTGACTTTCCTAAGACTCCTCTAAACTCGGTGTTGCTGAGCAGCAGGTATCTTTATTTCTTTTAACAAAAAGATCAGCAATGCATGTCCATCAGAAGGGCGACGAAATCCCATTAAACAGGATCTATTCTTAAAGAAGCACCATCTATAATTTCTACATTTATGCAGAAGAGTGCTGAAGTGTGACCTAGGATCCTTTGATGTGACAAAACAGCATTCCTGCCTGAGACCAGGAGACCATGGGGTTAAGCCACTCACCGGGTGGGTACCTGGGAAGAAAACCAGTGAAGTTTTTGGAGGCACTGTACACATAGAACATTCTACATCATTAACAAAAATAATGCTCATGGCTTAAGAAGTTCAGAAGAAACTCTGACAGTTAAAATTTTGTCATATTATTGAGTTAAAGAGTATTTACTAAAGTCATTTAATACCCCAAAATTATAGCTCTCCCTCAATTGACCTCAGAAATCACTCAACAGACCCTGCATATGTACCACTCTCCCTAACACCTACAGGGTAAATTCCACTTTCTTACACAAGAAGAAAATCCATGTAAGTTTTCTTTACGATCTTTTTCATCTTTATAGTCAGTCATTTTCTTGGTAATCTTTAAGGGTTCTTCGAGTATAGCCTGCCCAGATTCTCAGTGAGGTGGTCAGTAAGTTGCTGTTTTAGCAGATAAAATTGACAAGCCCAAGAATGTGGGAATCAAAGAATTTGGAACAAGGAACATAAAGCAAATGCAGCAAACGTCCTTACAGCATCCCGAGGGCATGTAGGGTATGGAACACATCAGGCCATGAGCTTGTGGTGGGAAGAGGAGCAGCGTGGAAGGCAGGTTCCTACACCCACACTTCTCTGATCTATGCCTCTGTGTTGCTGCTGACCGACCGTATCAATTCGTCTTTCAGAACAGTCGAAGCTGGCATTGGTGTCGGCTGAGTGCTTTATCCCACTCACAGATACAGCCCTTCCCTATAACCATAAAAGCCAGAGTAGTGCAAGGCCAAGTGGTCTTGGGCCTCAGAACGTTCTTTCGGCCTCATTGATGAAGAGCTGGTTTGGGAGCCATGTCAGAGACTAAACCCTAGACCCTAGGAAGACTGGTCCTCAATAGAAGCTATTGGTGGAGAACACATTGTACAATCTTCTTTCCAGTCCACTGCTCACTCTCCTGACCTCCTCCTTCTGCACTCACTGGGGAAAAAGCAATCAGACATGAACTTTCTACATTCCGTATTAAATACAAATGCCAAGTTGTAGGAAAGCTAAGCTACACATATGTTTAATATTTTCATCATGTGAGATTCAGCACACATGCCGGAACTTTATGTGGCTAAATAGCTTTCCCTCTATTCACTGAAGGTACGAAAGAAAACTCTTCCGGCTTTTATTCTTTGTATTTGCTTTGTGTTTTCCTATAGCTTGATCTGCATTCTGCCCTATTGCTTTTATATTCTAGCCAACTTTAGCTGTAGGCATTAATGAAATTTTTCTAAACCCTTAATGAAAAGAAAATAAAATTTTTATACACACTTACACACACACATTACATATACATATAATGTATATATTATAATGTTGAAAAGGCAGTATAGGACTGGAATGGTGACTGGCTCAGTGGTTAAGAGCACATACTGCTCTTGCAGAAAACTGAAGTATTGGTTCCCAGCACCCACGTTGAGAGGTGGAAGACACATAACTAGCTACAACTCCACGGCCAAGTGATCAGATGCCATCTTCTAGACTCTACAGACACCTTCACTCAGTTGCACATACCCACACAGACACAGACAACCAATTGAATAAAAAACAATAAAAGAAGGGATCTATATTTTTAAGACAGTATAGCTTTCTTGATCCAGAGCTAGTAGTGCTGGGCTGTGCTCTGACCACTCCTCTTCCCAATCCAAGTCTTGGGAATGGGCAGCAACTAGAAAACATCTTCGAAAGAGTGAGAGTGTTGCATCTTCTGCAAATGCAAATCGTGAAGGAATCTAGTGCCACTGTCTTGAGCAACTGCCATCCTCACCGTAGCTGAACCATGCCGGACTCCGTTTCAGAGCACCTTTTCACTGCTAGACAATGTCTGCATGAACTTTTTTCTGTCATTTTGGGCTGGTTTGGTTTCTTCCCAAATGTGGAATATTTTTAGTGCCATGGTTTTACTCTAAACATTTTATATAAAAATAAAAATGACCATACTGTTTTGAATACCTATCTGGTAATAAAGTTCTGGTTTCCACGCAGTTTCATCTGTTCTGGAAACCATGGGGTAGGTTAGGAATGCTCTCTGATACGCTGTCGGAGAGAAGATGAGTCTCCTAGAAGTTTTCGCAAGTCCATAACCACAGCATCCAATACAGTCTCCAAAAGGCCCTGATTCTGAGCCCTTATCCAGTGATTAATCTTTATACTCTTGTTGACTGGAACACGAGTTGCCATGAGGGGCCCACAGGATGCTATTTTTGCCCTCCAGAAATCTTCTTTCCTTACATGCAGACTCCAAATTTTCACCTAAGCAGCATGACCCCAGAATAGCCAGAAGCAGCAGTTGCACTGAGGATGGCTGATGCTGCCATTTCCTGGTACTTTTTTGTGGTCACCATGAAAGGACTTTTTCCTTTAGCTGTAAAGTAAAAGCACAGAGGCAAAGAGCCAGAAAGAACTCATCTAACTCCTCAAAGACTGTAGAAATAGGATTCTTAACTTTCAAATATATCCCAGGTCCAAGGCTAGAAAAATTATCGGTAAATTTCTCTTCTTCATTTATCCAAGCTTAACGTTCTTTCATACACAGGATGTGATAACACTGCCATTGAGTGTTCATCTTTTTTTTTATTGTTTCTGTAATCATTTATTTTCTTTTAGGTCAAGAACATCAATAATGCTAATGAGTTCCTACTTTTGTCTTTATAACGCTACACAGGACTTGTTTGCTTTAGACCTGGAACTTTACAGGTACAGTGGTGTAAATATGACTGGCTTTCGGTTGCTGAATATTGACAACCCTCATGTGTCATCTGTCATTGAGAAGTGGTCCATGGAGAGATTGCAGGCCCCACCCAGACCCGAGACTGGCCTTCTGGACGGCATGATGACAGTGAGTAGTTTATTTCATTTTAAAAATAAGTTTTATTTATTTCTTGTTTGAGAATTTTAGGTAAGTGTGGAATCTGTTTCATCAAATTCATCCAGACTCCCTTTGTTCCACCCCAAAGTTTCATATCACTGTGGAAAAGGGTATAGATGTGGGCAGAAAGATTGTAAAGGACAGCATATAATTTTAATGAAATCTCATGATTACATTTTAACTGTATAGAAGTAAAGTTAAGCATCTACTATGCTTTCAATAGTGTAAGTATATGTTATTATAATACATACCTTGAGAATGTTCAAGAGAGAAGGAAAGACGATTGTTAGACATTTTCAATCTTGCATCTGGCTATTATCAGAAGCTGTAATCTTTGCATTTCCAATTGCACTTGTCAAAAAAAAAATTAAGTTGCTATCATCATTGTTCAAATAGAGAGCAGGAACAGAAGAAAGGGTAAGGAAAGAGTGTTCACCCGTAGGGGTGTGTCTCTGCGGACGAGTGCAAAGGAGTGAGAAACATCCTGTTCATAGTCATTATCCAGAACGAGTCTGCAGAAGCAGGTACAGACAAACACCAGAGCTCCACGTGGCCACTGGGGTCACGTCCTGACTATCTCAACTTCACATGGGCACCCTTCTGCAGACGCTGGCCGCGCTTAACTCCAGTAATATGTCACTCCTGACACCGACGGCAAAAGAGTCAGAGGTAGCTGCCTGAACAGAAACTTGCAAACTGCCTCATAGAGATCTTTGAGAAAGCATCGTTTGTCTCATGCTGTCAAATGTATCTACCCGTTCTTTAGATCTCTAATGAGGCTCTATGGGTGAAGAAAATAGAAGGAAATAATAATAAAAAAAACCCTTGCTTCCTTTGTAAGAACAGTGCTACTAAGGGGAGGGATATTTGGGAATGCAAGCAGGGAATAGCATTCTAAATTGGTGTAATATCTCACTTTCCGTTCCCATCATCCAGAGAAGCATTCTTGCTGCTAAGATGCAATTTACTGATAACTGAAAGGTATCATCTCAGTGAAAAATGAACTTAGAACTTCCTTTTTCATTTTCCTGTGAAGAACAAGTGAAATGGAGGAAATAAATGAATGAATTAAATGGTTCTGGGTGGTTCTGTGTTCAGAGCCCCTGACTGTTTTGCAAGCCTGAAACAACTCTTAAAACACACAGTGATCTGAGAGGTAATGACGGAAAGTGCTTGGGCACAAATGAGTCTTCTGCCGTTTGAAACATTGTGTTGGGTGAAAGCAAGTAGCAAACACCCAGAGAAAAGCTAGACTTCAGAAAAGCAAGGGGACTGTCACCTTCCTGGTTCCAGCAAGATTTCTATCCCAGGATGATCTAGCTCTCCCATAAGTCTTTCCAGTGCCCACTGTGCAATTCTAGGCAGTAAGAGTTGGAAGCTATTCTCACACCGGTAACGTCATAGCTTCATGCCAAACTTTGAATATCCTTCACAAGAATGGCTTAATTTACGGAAAACAAAAGTTTCAGTCTGTTCAATTACATGGAGCTGACAGAATGATGATTTTTATATATTCAGCAAGTTGAAAACCATGGAACAAGGAAGATAGAGCCATAAAGTTTTCACAGAGTCAGGCTGGCATAAGATAAATTTTCTCCCCAGTGTTGTTGCCAGTCACCTGAGCTAACAACAGCAACTGCCCACGGGGCAGGAAGGATGTTAAAGGTGGGACCTAATTTAAAGAAGATGCCATGATCTGTCTAAAAAACAGATGGACAATAGGTTTGAGAAATTCTTGTATTTCTATCATTATTTTATTAATAATAATAAAAGAAGAATTATGGTTAGAGAGATAACTCAGTATTTGTTTCTTCTGAACACATCTGCGAGGAACTGAGTTTGAATCTCCAGAGCTCACATAGATTCAGGGACAGCTAAATCTATAATTCAGGGACAGATGGATCTATAATCTGAATTCTCCTACAGTGAACTGGGAAGGGAAAACTACAATTCTCAGAGACTTCTGGGCTATGTTAGAGCTCATTGCTCAGACAACAACAGAAAGAAAAAGGAAACAGTCTCAAACAGGGTAGAAGGTAAGAACAAACATTGGCGGTTGTCCTCCTCCTCTACAAGTGTACTGTGTGTAGTACACACACACACACACACACACACACACACACACACGCGCCTCCTACTCACAAAATGTTATTTTATGAAAAAAAATGAGAATTTATAAAAGGAGAGTGTTTCAGTGGAATGCTGTAGAATCAGTTCCAATAACTATGACAGGGCTTGCCAATAAGAGTAAACAACAGTGATATAACACAGCACCTTCCTGTACTGATTTTTCATTTGTATTTTAATAAATGAAGCTTGCCTGAAGCTCAGAGAGCAAAACAGCTGCACTGGTCAGTCTTACAGAGCAGGAAGTAGTGACACATACCTTTAATCCCAGTAGCGACACTAGAAACTGGGTAGTAGTGGTGCATGCCTTTAATCCCAGCTCTAGAGAAGAATATAAAATGGGAGGAGACAGCTCTCAGGCTCGTCTCATTTTGAGATTCCTGGAGGCAGGATCACCATTTAAAGAAAGCTTTAATAACTATGCATTTGATAAAATAATTTATTCAGAAGATAAATTTAATTAAGATCATACCAAAACAAAAGATGTTTAAATGAGGAATATTCATATAGCCCCAAAACATTTCTCTGGAAAGCCAAAGTTCTTACAAGCAAGAAGCATGGCTTATTAATGAAGATGGAAGTTATTCTCAAATAATAAATTATTATAAACTAATAATTTATAAACTACTAATACCATTAATAGTAAGGACACTGGTTAGTTTTAACTGTCAACTTGGCACAACCTAGAGTTATCTGGGAAGAGAAACTTAAAGAGGAATTTTTAGCTCAAGCTGGTCTGTGGCATGTATACAGTGGATATTCTTGACTGTTAATTGATGATGGAAAACCCAACCCATTGTGGGCAACACCATTTTCTATGCAAAGGTATTATGCAAAAGAAAACTAAAAAGGTAGCTGAATAAGCAAAAGAGAAGGAATAGATCCACACATTTATTCTCGCTCTGCTCTTGGTTTTTGGAAGTGATCCTCATTGTTATTACCTTGACTTCCCCAAGACAATGAGCTGTATCTTGGAACTGTAAATAAATTGCAATTTCAGGATATTTATCACAACAACAGAAAAACCACTAGAACAATAAGTAATTATAAATAATCCCATTGATATAACAGAATTGTGTTGTCTAACCATCATCTGTTTCATCCTGGAGTTCTCCTGGATGCACTGCATGTATCCACCATAGTCGTTTTCTTACATGTGTCACATACATTTATAGATTATAGGTGTGAGCAGGCAAGAATTAGAAAATAATATCACGAGGAAAGTATGTTTTGATTACCTGTTGACTTATTCATTTTTAAGACAATTTATTAAAGTTTTTCTTAGAATTTTGTTCACTAAAACAGCTTCAAGGAGTGTCATCATATATGTCAAAACACATCTATATCTGAAAATAGAGAAGTCAGTCACACCCAAATTCAATTTAGTTGAATTTAGATTTAAACACAGATATAATTAAAGAAAGAAAAACAAGCTTTAAGAATTGAGCTAAGAAAACTGTTGCTTGGCTCAGTTCAAAACAGTGAAAAGCACTAGTCAAAAACATCTGAAGATTTTTTTAAAGTATTTTTGTCCCAACTGGAGTGTTAATTAGCATAGCTAAAGTCTAGAATGGTTTTCGTAAAGTCTACTTTGCTTCTTTTTGCTTTTGTACATTTTTCCCTGAGTACTATGAGCTCATTCAAATGATAGTTTTGTATTGATGGGGAGATGGAATGGCTCACTTTCAGCATGATTTTTCTCTGATCATCGAGCATTGCAATATGTGTTAGTTACCATACTCTTGCTGAGATAAATCAAAATAACCAAGGGCAACTTAAGGAAGAACGAGTCTATTTGTGCTGACCCTTTTAGACAGACAGTCAATAATGGTGGGGGAAGGGTGGCAACAGACTACTGAGGCAGGAAGACAGGGAGAGATCACATCTTCAACTGCAAACCCCAAACAAAGGGAGTGGACAGCACCACCAACTGTGGACCCAATATTCAAATACCGGAGTTTATGGAGAACATTCGTCATTCAGATATAAACATGGTGTGTGATTCGGTAACACCAAGGAGACAGAAGTCATAGAGCCCTATCTGTCATTTTCCTTCCTGGTTCATAAATGCACTCCTAATGGGAGGCAGAGTGGGGATTGTCACTCTACTCTCTTACATATAATAGTTCTGCAGTTGTGGTCCACAGGAAAGATGTCTTTGGAGATCCACTTTGAGTCTTCACAGAGACTCCCGAGATAAAAGATAGCAGCCTACAGGATTAACAGAAAAGGCAACATTTTTCTTAACAAAGGGAACCAGAGTTTAGGTCCTGGCTATGATCCCAGAGAAAGTGGCCTCTCTACATCAATTTGTTTTTCCGGGACTCTGTATAATACCAACATAGTGTCATTCCACTGAATACTGCAGACAGCAACACACCCCTTTGATATAGGGATGAATTTGCTTATCACGCTGCTTTAGTCGGGGAGAGAACAAAGGACATTCTGACAGGCAAAGTGTAATCAACCTTTATTCTACCCCACTGACAGACAATAAAAATCTTGAGATTATAAAGAGTGTTTTATCAACTGAAGTGTTAATTAATACATCAAAAGTTTGCCTTCTTGAGAAACTAGAGCAGGAGGATTACTGTAGTATTTATTTATTTTCTTATTTACGCATGAGAGACACATTCTTTATGCCAGTTGACCAGGGTGAGTCCTTATCTGATACTTCTGTGACATGGGGTGACCAAAGGCATTTTCCAGTGTGTTTGCTTGCTCTATTTGTAACCTCTTTCCTCTGTTTCTCCTGGTCTCTATCTAAAACCAGTACTTACTCACTGAGGTTCAAATGATGGCACCCACACTGCCAAACCTTCAGTGAACCTTCTGGGATTTCTCTCCTAACTACTGAATTTTAAGACTGCGTGTGCTGATCTTTTTTGCTACCTCCTCAAACCCATTCACAAATTTCACTCACCAACAGGGCATTCTGCCTGCTATGTGCTCCATGGCAATGTAAAGGAGCAATGCTTCCTCCAGTACTAGAGTTTCCCAGGTGGTAGCATTGCTTCCATGAGGCTGCACCCTCAGCAGAGTTCCCATAGACTATTTCCCCCATCCCTGACTTACCTATTACAACTGTTTCCAAATTTAGAGAGTAACGAGAAAACTATGCTTCTTGGCCATTTGTTCTCCAAAGACCAGTTTTCTTCCCAGCCTCACAACTGGGAATACAGTAGTATGCCAGTTGTCCTTGTCTCTGTGGTGATGGGGCATCTCGTTGGTTTGTCTTGTCAATTACCACCACGTCCTAATACTTCACTATTTGCATAAGGAATACAGAATATATATATGTCTCCTGCACATTTCTGGGGCTATTATGGAACTCATGAATTCACAGTAATTGTAACTACCCAAGCAATGCTTGTCCAAAATCAAGCCAGTTGGTCTTCCAACATGAATAGGTTTATGAGGCTCTGCCTTATTTGAGAGCATGTTGACAGTTTATGGCTACTCAGGGGAGGAAGTCATCAGTTTTCTCCAGGCATTTGGCTTATCATAGGTTGCCAGTGGTTCAATGTATGACCCTACACTCATGATCATATGAACAACATTAATTGGACTCAATGAATTGTAAAAAAAGGAACAAAAGTTTATGAAATTGGATCAGAGAAATGGAAGGTCTGAACAAATCTGAAGAGGTTAGTGTGGGGTAGGTATGACCAAAATACACTGTATATATGTATAAAATTCTCAAAGAATAGAGAAACTAATTTTTAAATAGTTCATAATTGGAAGACTATATCATTCATAAACAAGATGCTTATGATGCTGGCAAGTAGTATATGGCCTTGGATTTTAGCCTTTATCAAACTACTCTTGTGATCATTAAATAACTGGACAAGGTGGAACCTGAGTTCGTACCACCAATTTTAAGGATCCGAACGCTGGCTTTCTAGACACCACTTAATCTCTTAATTTTATTTCCATGAAGAAGTAAAGGGATGATAAAAAGTTCCTTGTTTCCCAAGGATTCTGAACAAGGCCAGATGTATAATCAGTGCTCAATAAATGTCCACTGTGACTACTGATTCTGCTTTACAAAGTAACCTGCCTATACTCACTTTCTCCCAATTGGACCAAGTAAAGGTAGCAGAATGGTGAAGAACATGGGTGCTAACTTGAAGCAAGCAGGGGGCTACACTCTGTCCCTATAAGTGATTAGCAGAGTAGATGTGTACCAGCTAATTTCCACAAGACTCAGTTTTATCATCAACAAAATGGATTATATAAATCATGAGTCAATCAAAAAATTAAGCTTAGCAGTTGCCAGTGCCACTACCATCAACCTCACGTCTCTGTGTCAAGTATATAAGCAAAATGATTTATGTTAAATCTTAGTATTATATAGTCATTACAAAAATGGACTATCTTGCCGGGCGGTGGTGGCGCACGCCTTTAATCCCAGCACTCAGGAGGCAGAGGCAGGCGGATCTCTGTGAGTTCGAGACCAGCCTGGTCTACAGAGCTAGTGCCAGGACAGGCTCCAAAGCCAGAGAGAAACCCTGTCTCGAAAAACCAAAAAAAAAAAAAATGGACTATCTTTTAATACATGAATCAATAATAATTTATTCTGTAAATGTTTAGTAAACTGTTTCTATATTATGAACTGTGCTTAGGTACTAAATGCTGAATTTGAACAGTTTCTGCTTTTAAAAAAATCACATTGTTAGCTGGGCGGTCATGTTACACACCTTTAATCCCAGCACTCAGGAGTCAGAGGCAGGCGGATATACAAAAACTAACTCCAGGAAGACTCCAAAGATACAATGAGAAACCCTTTCTCAAAAAAAAAAAAAAAAAAAAAAAACAAATCCACATTGTTTCTAATCAAGTGATGAGTATTCAAAACAATTTGACATTTCAATGATGGAGACTGAACGGAATAAAAAGCATCCACAATAAAGATATTTCTTGCTTCAAAACTGTTGAGATGCAAGGTATAGCGTCCATCACTTATGCTCTCCTTCCACCTGCATGAAAACATAATTAACAGCAAATATTGGATGAATCAACTAATTTCAGAAAACCACATACAAAATTTTGCTAGAACCTGGATTCTAGGCTTAACTCTGTTAAGTTTCCAGCTATATACATATGTGCTTCCATAAATCAATATTTTGCCTGAGGTCAGTTTTACATATAATAAGTAGCTTTATCTATATGTTCTGCTTACTTTGGAGAATTACTGAGAATTTCAAATGAGCTAATATATTTGAAGTTGCAAAGAAAGCCCTCCAGTAAAATATGAGGGTATTATAAGATTTTTATCCCCCAAACCACAGGGCAGTATATTTGACAAAATGCTATGAGTATTATATAAAATTTAGCAAGTGAGAAGAATTTTATGAGGAAAAGAAGGAAAAGATAACTATTCCAAAAGAGAATTAACGACGTCCAGTCTTTTTCATGGTAACTCATGAAAGCAAATGTAAATTGTTCTGATCACAGACCTGTACCTCACAGGGCTTCCCTGAGCTAGCCATCGAATTTCATACCATGGACTTTAACTTCCCTCCTCAAGTCTGATCAACACAAGTAACCTTAATAATAATACAATCACCTACTAGCTCTATTTGCTAGCAAGAATTTGTTTTTTCTGAAATACAAAACGAAGAAGAAGAGAGGAAAGAGGGAAGGAAGGAAGGGGGAGGGAGGGAGGGAGGGAGGGAGGGAGGGAAGGAAGGAAGGAAGGAAGGAAGGAAGGAAGGAAGGAAGGAAGGAAGGAAGGAAGGTGCTAAAAGGCAAGAGCTGATATTGAAATAATGAGACTTTAGTAGATTTGATCTCAAGGTAGTTACTTTAATACTGAGTTTAACATAGAAGACACTCCAAAAATGTTTCTGGAATAAAGTCTTTTATCATTGACCTGAGTTTCTATTTTGCTTTCTTATTAAGAACTCAAAAACCAAACAGGATTCTAATTTATTCTGGAGTGTAAGCTTTTCTTTTGTAGAAAAACAGCAATCGGTGACTGAAAACTGTTTGGCTAAAGAACAAAAGGTCTTTAAGCACAGACAGACAGCAAGGAAGGAATGGCAAATGCATAGGTAGAGGGAGGTAATAAAGATGGAACTGATGGCATGGTCCATATTTTTCTCCACAGACTGAAGCAGCTCTGATGTACGACGCTGTGTATATGGTAGCCATTGCTTCGCATCGGGCCTCACAGCTGACTGTCAGCTCCCTGCAGTGCCATCGACACAAACCGTGGCGCCTTGGGCCCAGATTTATGAACCTGATCAAAGAGGCAAGTGTACCTTCTTGTAGCTCATTTGCTTAGCGCCATTTAGCATGCCTTTTAGATGTGCTTCTAATGGCATGGTGACGCTAATGGAGAAACAGTCACTGTCAACTGGTCTTCTCAGATCTCAAGGTCAGAAGCTTGCCTATGGGAACTATTCCGTATTTTACATATTATGCTCCAATGCTCCAGCAAGCTACTAGATCCTAGCACTACTTACTGTCTGTCACGTCAGCTGTGTTCCAATTATGACTGTCTCTCCACACATAAGAACTTAGAGGTATTGAATCCATAGGGATGTTAATTCCCACACTGTGGGTTCTTGATCTCCCACAGAGGCTAACCAAAGACCTCTTTATGGTAGAGCAATTTTTCCCCTTTGGTAACAAAAGAGAAAAGGGTGGTTCTATTGAAAACTTCTTCAGTGTCCTAAAGGTTCTTAAGAGTAGAGGATATTTAGGAAGAGGCAGCTCTCTGTTAATATCCAGGTATTAAAGGCTATACATACTTTATCTTGCTCTCTGGGGCAATTTAAATTCTCTTTCAAAGACCCTTCCAGGACTCTTAAAATATGTGTGCCTTTGGATTATCTTGAAGACCAGCAGGCACTTTTAGGTATTTGTGGACTTGGCAATATAAAATAAGAATCTTGAGAGCAGAAAATCTGACTGAGTAAGCACGCAATCCATGACATGCTCTAGAATTTTCTCTGTGGGATACAGAAGTGGGTTCTCCAGTGGAGACTATCTTCTTCCCTATCCAGACTGGAGAAAGTCAGAGACAATACACTAATTGAGAAGCATATGTGGGGATAGAATACAGATGGAGAAGGCTCACTATAGACTAAGGAAATCTAACAGTTTCAAATGGATCTCTGCTGATTTCCTCAAAACCCACAGATCACCTCTCTGCTGTTCAATCTGCTTCCCCATACATGCTGAGTCCATAAATATAAGGAGCAGATAAAGGAAGTACATAAGAAGTAAGAGTTCAAGAGCCGAGAGAAGACAACTTGCAGTGCTGGGAATAGGGTATCTACTTTCTGGTGCAAAGCCTGCTCTTTTGAAGACTGAAGAAGAGCTCTTCCTTAAATTCTAGCTTATCTTTCCTGTCCTGTCCCCACTGACTGCTTAGCTATAACCCCCAGCTCTGCTAATGTTTATGAGCAACATAACCAAGATTAGACACTTAACCTTTCCGTGTCTGGAATTTTGATCTGAGAAATGGTAATAGGCCATCTACCTTCTCAGCATTATCGTACAGAAATTGAGTACTTTACTATTTGTAAAGAATAGTGAAGGGGTCCAGTAAGCATCTGAAATATTGGCTTCCCTTGGCATGAGAATGCACACTTATAATAGCCTCATTCAGTTTACTGAGGATGGTGCCAGGAATTTAAAACTGGCAACGACAAATAGCGGTGACATGCAATCCGCTCTCTGACAGCTACATAAACCTGACATACTGTGGCTAGTAGAACAATGTCACGTGGCCTTCCCTTCTCCCTGTGCTCGTCATAGTCACGTCCTGAATTTCCATCCTGATTGCCTCGATCTTTAACAAGAAAACATCCGGCTCCCCTTTACCTTAAGCCAGTGCAGGAGAGGCAAAAACCATAAGGAAGCCTGAGATCAAACATTCAAACCACTCCGGGCACCTTTTTACTCCCACTTCAGTTACATGAGAAGACGAAATTGCCAAGCTGCATGGAGGTATGTTTAAAAAAAAAATAATGAGTCCAAGAGAAGGGATGACATGGACAACAAGAACACATTTTCTATTTCTGTACTAGGAAGAGCAACTCCCCACTCTCAACATCCATGGTTTGGGAGTGAAAGGAAGGCTATCAGGGGAGAATACAAAAGCATTTGACAGCAATGTTCCTATTCTCTCATTGACTCTTGGCATATGCTACCTTTGGCAGAGTGTTGATCCCTGCTGGGAGGAAGGCATGATGGTAGGGTGGGGAATCAGGACTCATGCCCCCGGCTATTGAAAAACAGGTAGAGAGGGAATTCTGTGATGAAATGAGCATTAAACAGAAACATGCTGATATTTCTTTGACTGAGAACATCATCAAATTTTGCATGTATCGGATTTCATTGTAAAACATGAAGTAAAGTCCTAGGTCCTGACACTTTCTCAGGTCAATTCCTGCAGTCATTTCCCATTTCTAGAGGATTTCTAGCCTGGGAAATCTGACTGGGAAATAACGAGAAGGGTGAGCCAGCACACTGAACTTATGGAGTGATGCCAGCCTCCTCACAGAAGGTAAAGCTGCCAGGACAGTAATACGGACAAGTGCACAGCATTTTGAGTTAGGAAGCCGCTAAGATGCGTACCTTAAACTAACTTACCATTCAGCATGCGAGGCTGACGGTAGAAGGGGTGGGATCGAGGACCGTTTGGAACATGACGCTGCACATTCCAGAGTCCACTTCCTGGAGATGTGTTAAACAGATGTATACAGTAGAAGATGATAATGGTCTGCTCAACAAAATGTAAAAGAACACCGTCTTGTAGAGTGTAAAAGAACACCGTCTTGTAGAGTGGTTGGATTGGCTTGCTCCTCTGTTCCTGTGATACACCACTAAACAGAAGCAATTTAGGGGTGGAAAAGTTTTATTGCTTCCAGACAACAGTCTCTCGCTGGAGTGAAATTGGTACAGAAGCTCAGCAGAAACCTAGAGGCAGGAACTGGGGCAGAAACCACAGAGGTTGGGAGTTTCCTGCTCACTCTTTCTGGCTCCTACTTAAGCAACCTTATTGTTTAACTTCAGAACCACCTGCCGTGAGCACCACCAGCCACCTATAGTAGGCTGTGTCCTCCATGTCAATCACTGGTGATAATAATTCCCCCAGACATGACCACCTACCAGTCTGATATGGATAATCCTTCAGTTGAGATGCCCTCTGTGATTTTTGGCTGTATCAAGCTGGCAAGAGAAACTAACAAGGACAATAATATTTGTGTGGTTCTGGGTATCAAACAGAGGGTCTCACTTATTCTAGACAAGTGTTCTGTCAATGAGCTATATCCCCAGTCCCTGCTCCACATAATATTAACTTTGTCACAAGGGAGAACCCTCTCACCAAACTGAGAAAAATCAGGTTTCATCTAAAGCTATCCCATAGCACAATATAAACGCTGTACCATTTAGCAGGATTGATAGGCTCTTAGTGACCTTGTTCTCAAAGCCCCATGGCATCTCTCTCATCCCCTACACTGTCGCTAGCCCTTGTTGAATCTTTGATGTCTTCCTGAACATGCCATATATGCATGCTAAAATCCCTGACTTCTTGCTAAACTTCCATATTTGTCAGGATCATGACTTATGTCCAATGCAAGCCATAGCTCCTACCTTCTGATCCTGACTCTTCACCTCTACTCCAACTGTAATTCTTCTGTCACATTTTATTCTGCTTGTCCTTCTCGAAGCTGTGCATTTTTTCAATCTCACCTCATTGGCTTTTGCACAAAGTACTCAAGAAAATTAAGCTGTATGTTGAAGATAAAAGGAGAATACATGCAACCTTCAGGCGAAATCAGGGGATGGTCTGCACTCAGTACATTAATGCGTCCATAAATATTTCATCAGAGACAAAGTATAGGCCAGACATGTTCTCTAGCACTGCTGACTCTGATACCATGTGCAGTGGTGGGTCATATAAATCTATCAACCTATTTATCTCTTAAATGGTGAACATAAATCTGAGATTAACTACAGTTTCCTATCTGTATAAACTTAGTCATTTAACTTAACTTTTCTCACTTTCTTCTATAACTTGGGGATAAAAAAACTTCATATATTAATGTGAACTCTACACATATTACATAAAAAGCCTACCAAAATGTATGTTATATAGTCACTACCCAATAAATGGTAACTGTCATCAAATGGAAGGTTCTGTTAAAAATGTACATCAGTAAAACAGCTGTCATTCATCTAGTGCATTGTCCAACACACTGTGAGCTCTGTTTCTGTCATTGGTGCCATGATTATTATTGGGATCTAGGATGAGAAGGTAGTTTGTATAAATATGGGTAAGAAACTGTAGCGGGGCTTCAGAGGGACCTAGAAGCTGCGTATTTGACTCATGGGTGCTCAAATACAAAGAACTAGGGATCTAGAGGACTCCCCCCGATAATCACACACATGATTACTCAGCAAAGTAAAAAGACCCTAAGCAATTAGCAATCAACTCAAGAGGCTCGGCATTTTCAAGTCACTGTAGCAAAGTATCACGAACCAGCTGGTGTGTGGTCTGACAGCCAAGAGCATCTCAGTGCACTCATTGTGGGAACGGGTACACCCAGGCTTCCAAGAAGATTTCTCCAGTCACAAGTATTGGGAAGAGCAGTAGCAAGGTACGGCCCAAGACGCCAGGGGATTGTGAACAATATTCAGAGTCCCAGACCCTGGATTAAAACCGATGCAAGCCATTCGTCCACTGTCCCCATAAAATACTTGGAAACTTTGGGCAGTCTCGGAAGTAGTCTGCCCTGGGCATGCTGCAGCCCCTTTCCCGACTCACTACCCTCATAGTTTCTCTTCTGGAATATTAAGATAGCCTCTAGCCAGGCTCTGTCTTCTGAGTTACAGCCCCTTTGTGGTGATACATATAAAACAGAAGTACATAGTAGGTTTTCTACCATCTAGAAATACACACCTGCTCGTGGCTTCCTGGTTCTACCATGCGGTTCTTCATCTAGTGGAGACAGGTGGATTTCTCTTGCTGGTTTAAAACCTGCCTAATAATGCCCACTTTGTCTTGTCTCCTCAGACTTGAAAGTCTGTCTCTTAGTTGTCCCTTGGGCTAATTTTTACTCTGAACTCATTTTCTCTAGCTAGCCTCTTCAACTTGTGTTTCTAGGTGGTTCCCTCATTTTGTCTCACAGTTCCTTCAGCTCTCACTGTTAACTTTTAACACATGACATTCAAGCACTGTACAACCTTTCCCTGGGACAAGGACAAAAGTCACAACATGGCAGATGTTTAAAAGAT